GACTTCTGTTTGTTGATCTTGTATCCTTCCACTCTGCCAAACTCCTCTATTGTTTCCAGTGCTCCCCTTGTGGAACTTTTGGGATTTTCCATATATAAAATCATATCATCTGAAAATAATGATAGTTTCCCCTCTTCCTTCCCCAGATGAATACCTTTGATGTCTCTTCTTTGTTTTACCTAAAACCTCCAGCACGATATTAAATAAGGGTGGGGGCAAGGGGCATCCTTGTCTGGTCCCCTTTTTCAGTGGGATTGTGTTAGTTTCTTCTCCATTGACTACCACGTTGGCTGTTGGTTTTTCATATATAGCTTGTATTGTCTTGAGGAATTTTCCTTTCATTCCTATCTTCTCAAGTGTTTTAAATAGGAATTGGTGTTGGAAGTTGTCAAATGCTGTTTCTGCATCTATCGATATCATGTGGTTCTTATAGTTTTTCATGTCAATGTAATGAATAATAATAATGGTCTTTCGTATGTTGAACCATCCCTGCATCCCTGGTATGAATCCCACTTGTTCATGGTGAATTATAAGTTTTATATACTTTGTATTCTGTTGGCTAGTATTTTGTTGAGGATTTTTGCATCGATGTTCATTAGGGATATTGGTCTGTAGTTCTCGATTCTTGTGGGATCCTTGTTCGGTTTTGGTATCAGTTATACTAGCTTCATAGAAGGAGTTTGGGAGTTTGCCGTCTTTTTCTCTGTTCTGGAAAAGTTTGTGTAGGATTGGTGTTAGTTCTTCCCTCAATGCTTGGTAGAATTATCCAGTGAAGCCATCTGTTCCAGGGGATTTTTTTTGTTGGTAATCCCTTGATAACCTTGTCTATTTCTTCTATTGCTATGGGTCTGTTGAGATTCTTGACATCCATCGAGGATAGTCTAGGGAGGGATTGTTTTTCCAAGAACTTGTCCATGTCTTCCAAATTGTTGAATTCATTGGAGTACAATCCTTTGTCTTACTGTGTAAGTATCCTTTTGATTTCATTAGGATCTGTTGTAATGTACCCTCTGTCATCCCTTATTCTTGCTATTGAAATTTGTTCTCTCCTTCTTTGGTTAGGTTTGCCAGTGGTCTGTAGATTCTGCTTATCCTTTCAAAGAACCAACTTTTAGCAGCATTAATTTTTCCCATAGTTTTCTCATTTTCCCTCTCCTGAATCTCAGCCCTGATTTTTATAATTTATTTTCTTTTGCTATTAGTAGGATTGTCCTGCTCTAGTTGTTATAAATTTTGTGCCGCATATCAATCATGAGTCTCTCTTAATTTCTCAGATGTGCATGTATTGCTATGAAACTCCCTCTGATAATTAATTGCCTTTGCTGTGTCCCATAAGTTTTGGTATGTCGTGTTCTCATTCTCTTTCGTTTCTAGAAATTTCCTAATTTTATCTCTGATCTGTGCCAGTACGCACTCCTTTTGCAGTAAAGTTATTCATCCTCCAATTGTTTGCTCTTGTTTTCTTTGTCTTCCTTTTGTTGATTTCCAGCCTTATGGCACAGTGGTCAGAGAGATCTGTATGATATCAATGTGTTTAAATTTATGTATAGTCACCTTATGCCCCAGCATGTGGTACGTATATCTTCAAATATGTGCCATGTGGGCTTGAAAAAAATGTGAATTATTTTGTATTTGGATGAAAAGCTCTGTAAATATCTATCAGGTCAAATTGTCTAATTGTATTATTTAGATCTCTAACCTCCTTGTTGTCTTTCTTTCCCTGTGATCCATCTTTCTCAGAGAGTGGTATATTGAAGTCACCCACTCTTAATTGTCGAGGCTTTAATTTCTTTTTTAATCTTTTGGAGTGTTTGGTTAATGTATTCAGCGGGTCTCTCATTCGGGGAATATATGTCTACAATGCTTAGTGGGTCTTTGTCTACCATTCCCTTGAGCATTATATAGTGTCTCTCCTTATCTCTTTATGGTTTGCACTTTGAGGTCAATTTGATCTGAGATTAGGATTGTAACCCCTGCTTCTTTTGAATTGTTTGCTTGGTATGCCTTTCTGCAGCCTTTGATTCTCAGCCTATTTTTGTCTGTAGCCTTGAGATGTGTCTCATGTAGGCAGCAGATTGATGGGTTGTGTTTTCTAAACCAGTCTGCTAGTTCAGTATTTTAATGTGTAAGTTCAGGCTATTGATCTTCAGGGTTATTATCTCCATCTGTGGACTTCCTTTCTCATTAGCCTGTTGTGCATGTGTGTGTGTTTCATTTTTGAGTTTTTTCCAGCCTTAAGCCAATGCTATCTTGGGGTCTGTTTTCTCTTTGTTGCCCTTTGGGTGAGGTTGTTCTATGTGGTCTCTCATTTATGCTTGGTGAATGTTGTTCTTTTGCCCGTACTGGGTCCGCAAGGATCTTTTGTAGGGCTGGGTTTCTTCTGACGTATTCTTTGAGTTTTTCCTTGTCTGGGAAGACTCTTACTTCTCCATCTATCTTGATAGATAATTTGGCTGGGTAGAGTATTCTTGGGTTTGCATTGTTTTCCTTCAATTTTTGGAATATGTCACTCCACTCTCCTCTTCTTCATAGTTTCTGCTGATAGGTCTGAGTATATTATTAGATTTTTGTTCATGTTTGTTAGTCTGCTTGCCTGTCCTCCAAGTCACTGATGTGGTTCTCTACTTCCTCCAGTCGATTCTCGAGGTCTGTGTTTCTGCTACTGGTTTTTGTTATCTCCTCTCTAAGCTCCTGTATTTCCCTTTGGTGTATCGCCTTTATCTCCTCTACCATTTAATCCCTTTTCTGTATTGTTTCCCTCATATCCTGTATAACTCCAAGCAGCTTTCTGAAAATTTCTTTCTGTGGCAGTTCGTCTGCTTCTATGCATGTCGTTATGTTCGGGCCATCTTCTGCCATTGCCTTTTGTTTCTCCTGGGTTTTTTTTGTTGAAGTCATTGGGGTTGATGACGGTTTGTGTTGCGTTTTAGAGGAGCCAGGTGCCATTTTCCAGGGAGTTGAAGAGCATTGCTCTCTCTCGGAGACTTGTAGGAATGCTCTTTGAACTGCCTACAACTAATTTCACTATGGAATTAACCTACCACTTTATCCTCCTGTGGCTTCCCTCTCAGGGAAGTGCCCCAGAAGGCTGGTGGGTTGCCTGTTTGGTGTTGCAGAGATTGGGCAGAGGTTCCTGCAACAGCTTGGAATGTTGACTAGTGTTGGCTGCCTTATGCCCCCAGTTACACAGGCAGGATTCCCTGGTAAGAAGTTGGGCAGAGTATTCCCTGGAGGTAAAGCAGGGCTTTCCCCAGCCTTGGGCTGGCTACACAGGGTGGAGCTCACCTAGCTGGGTGTGGTGCAGGCGTAAATGCCCTAGGCTAAGGGGAGTGGTCTGGAGGTCAGCAGTGGAGTGTGAGAGAACAGGAAAGAGACAAAGAGCAGAAAAAATAATAAAAAAGTAAGACCGCTTAGACTGTGCCAGGGATATAGAGAAGAGGGAAACAAAAACAACAATGTAGCTGAGTCCCGATCCCCGCCAGTGGAGCTGCAAGGGTTTAGTCCCTGCCCTGAAGCAGGTGGCAGCGGCAAGCTGTGGCTGAGCTGATAAAAAGCCCCTGCACAGACCTCCAGTACTGTGGGGGGACAGAGAGCAGAGATGAAACAAAAGCAGCAATGTAGCTGAACCCCGCTCCCTGCCTGTGGAGCTACAAGGGTCCAGTCCCTGCCCCGAGGCAGGCGGGGGCAAACAGTGGCTGTTGATACCAAGCCCCACCCCCTCCCAGGCTCTAAATGGTCCCGGCTCTGGCAGAGGCAGTGGCGGGGCCAGGATCAAGCCCCAGCCAGCTTCCACTGATGCAAGCCAAAAGCCCCCAGCCCCTTAAAACAGAGGGGGTCTGTGCCTACTTATCTTTATGATGCTCCTCCTGCGTTCTAGCAGCGTTGAATTTCCCTCTAAGCAACTCTCCTGGGTTGAATTCTGCCCGGTCCCTCTGGTATGTGTCACTCCGTTGCCAGTTCTCGAATGGACAGTATCACCCCGGAAGTATATGGCTTCTTCTGGATTGTGGCCAGAAAGGTGAATTCACTCTTGTTCCGGAACAGCTGGATTAATTTCTCACTCACATGAGGGGCTGCATGAATTCCTCTTTCTGCATCCAGTGGTGGGTACAGTTCAGTCTGTAGGTCAGCCAATGATAAGCCAGAGCTAGGAACAGAGGACACCCTTCACTCTTGGGTCTTGCCAGTGATGAGCTCACCTCATACAACTCTTATCACAATCCATCCATCCATTGTGTCAAGCACATTTGTCCATGTGTTGCCATTTTCATGTGTGTGTGTTTTTTTGTAATCATTTTATTAGGGGTTAATACAACACTTACCACAATCCATACATACATCAATTGTGTAAAGCACATTTGTACATTCATTGCCCTCATCATTCTCAAAACATTTGCTCTCCACCCAAGCCCCTGGCATCAGCTCCTCATTTTTTTCCCCTCCCTCCCCGCTCCCCCTTCCCTCATGAACCCTTGATAATTTATAAATTATTATTTTGTCTTATCTTGCCCTGTCCGACGTCTCCATTCATCCACTTTTCTGTTGTCCGTCACCCAGGGAGGAGGTTATATGTAGATCCTTGTAATCGGTTCCCCCTTTCCAACCCACCCTCCCTCTACCCTCCCGGTATAGCCACTCTCACCACTTGTCCTGAAGGGATCATCCACCTTGTATTCCCTGTGTTTCTGGTTTCTATCTGTACCAGTGTACATCCTCTGGTCTAGCCAGATTTGTAAGGTAGAATTGGGATTGTGATAGTGGACTTGGGGGGAAGCATTTAGGAACTAGAGGAAAGTTGTATGTTTCATTGTTGCTACACTGCACCCTGAGTGGCTTGTCTCCTCCCTGGTATTGTTTGCTTAATGTGTTTTTCATAGCTCTCTTTGCTGGTATACAGGAATCTGATTGATTTCTGATTGTTAATTTTGTATCCTGGTACCTTTGTAAATATGTTGATTGTATCCAATAGACTTTTATTTTATTTTATTTTTTTTTGGAAAAGAAGTCTTTATTCTGATCCCACCAGATACACCATCTGTTATGCGCCTTCTTCCTTGGCAATTCGGTCTTTCTTGAGTGGTCCCATGAAAGCTTTCTTCTCTTCCACGGTCTGGAAACGGCCATGGCCAAACTTGGAGGTGGTGTCGATGAACTTGAGGTCGATCTTCTCCAGGGCACGGCGCTTGGTCTGCACCAGCAGGGACTTGCGCAGAGTGAGCACTCGCTTCTTGGTCCCCACCACGCAGCCCTTCAGCATGACAAAGTCGTTGGTCACTTCACCATAGTGGACAAAGCCACCCAGGGGGTTGATGCTCTTGTCAGAGAGATCGTAGTCGGTGGAGGTGTTGTTCTTGATAAGCTTGCCGTCCTTGATGAGGTAGCCCTGGCCAATCTTGTAGATCTTCTTGTTGATCTCTGTGCGGTGGTGGTAGCCTTTCTGCCCAGCGAGGGCCACCGAGAAGGCCACGCGGGCAGGATGCCAGGCCCCGATACACGCCACCTTGCGCAGGCCTCGGTGGGTCTTTCGGGGCAGCTTCTTGGTGTGCCAACGACTGGTGACCCCTTTGTAGCTTTTGCCTTTGGTCACCCCAATGACATCGATCATTTCATCCTGCCCGAACACCTGGTTCACTGGCACCTGCTGCTCCAGCTTCTCTCGGGCCCAGTCCAGCTTCTCAGCCACAGAGCCCCCGTTCACCTGGATCTCCATCAGGTGCGCCTTCTTCTGGCGCAGAGGGAGCAGGCGCATCTGGGTGTGGGCAATGACGCGGATGACCTGGCAATACTTCTTCATGCTGCTGAAGTCCTTATCCAGCTGCTTCTTGCCCTCGTCATCCTGCCACTTCTTGCAGTACTTGGTGAAAGCCTTCTTCTTCGACTTGTGCCAGTTCTTGTAGAAGCGCCGCTTGCACTCGTCACTGATGTGTTCGGCAAAGACCGTCTTGAAGGTCCGGAGGCCGCGCGGTGTCTCCACATAGCCCACGATGCCCACCACCACCATGGGGGGGGTCTCCACGATGGTCACCGCCTCCACCACTTCCTTCTTGTTCACCTTGGAGCCTGGCCTGTCGACCTCGCGCACAATGTGGGTCATGCCGGCCTTGTAGCCCAGGAAGGCCGTAAGGTGGACCGGCTTGGAGGCGTCATCCTTGGGGAAGCTCTTCACCTTCCCGCGGTGCCGGCTGCTGCGCAGCAGGAAGCCCAGAGACCGTGCCGTGACGCCGAGAACTTCCTGTGGGACATCACGCCGTCGATCCCTGCTGGTAGAGCGTATCCAATAGACTTTTAGTGGAACCTTTAGGGTTTGCTATATATAGGGTCATATCTTCTGCAAACAGCTAGAGTTTCACGTCTTTGCCTATTTATATATATACTTTGCTAATGACTCTAGCTGAAACTTAAAGCACAATGTTGAATAAGACTGGTGACAGGGGACCTCCTTGTCTGGTCCCTGGTTTTAGTGGGAATTTTTCTAGCTTTCCCCCATTAAACATGATGTTGACTGTTGGTTTCTCAGATATGGCTTTTATTATGTTGAAAAATGTTCCTTCTATTCCTGTTTTGCTGAGTGGTTTGAACAGAAATGGTGTTGAGTATTATTGTGAAATGCCCTTTTTGCTTCTATTGATATGATCATGTGGTTTTTATTGGTTGCCTTATTTATTTAGTATATTATATTGATTGTTTTTCGAATATTAAACCATACCTCCAACCCTAGAATGAATCACACTGGGTCATGTTGAATTCTGTTTTTTGATATGCTGCTGCATTCTATTAGTCAGGATTTTGTTGTGGACTTTAGCGACTGTGTTCATGAGGGATATTGGTCTATAGTTTTTGATCTGTGTGGGGTCCTTGCTTGGTACGGGTATCAGTTTTATGCTAGCTTCACGGAATGTCTTTGGAAGTTTGTTGTCTTTTTTGTGTTCTGGAAGAGTTTGTGTATTCCTGGTATCAAATCTTCTTTGAAGAATTGGTAGAATTTCCCTGTGAAACCATCTGGACCTGGGCTCTTCTTAGTTAGTAATTTTTCTTATGAACTGCCCTAATTCTTTTGTTACGGATCTGTTGAATTTTTCAATATCTGTGTGCCTTTCTAGTTATCGGGTCTCTTGCTCTCTGATGATTGGACCCAGGTGCAGCTTCCTTAGCTAGTTCCCTGCTTCAGCTGGCAAGACTCACTTTCTGTGAAACATAACCTGAGGAGAAGCCACATGGACCTACCCTGATGCAGCCCTGGGTGCTGGAGCAGACTCGTGGAGACCCCTGCCAGCGCTGAGATGCTTACACGCTCACTTATTCGGCTTTCTGCCAACAGTCAGTGTCATTGCATGTGTTTTGTGAGATTGAGGTAGACTTTGTAGATTGATGTCAGACATATGAGCTAATGTTGGACTTTTGGGCTTGGATAGCACTGGGTTGGGATGCTTTCTTAATGTACACTACTTACCCTTTATATAAAACTCTCTTTCTATACATATGAGTTTCTGTGGATTTGTTTCTCTGGTATACCCAGACTAACACAGTGACTTATTGCTAGGTGTCTATCCATATATTCCATATTTTTGAATTTCTTTGAATATAGTTTTTCATAGTGTGCTTTTATTCTTTTTATATCATTTGTACCTGTTGTAATGTCACCCTTTTCATTTCTTGTTCAGGGTATTTGGATCTCTTTTTTTTCCCCCTCCCCCTTTGTTAAGCAGGCAGGGCTTGTGCCATACAGGAAGTGACGATGTCCATCAGAGGGAAGAGGGGTGAAAGCTGTTTGGGAGGGGGAGATAGTGGTGGTCATGTTACTTCCAGAAGAAGGGTCAAGCAAGGCAGCCCATGGGATAGGAATTAAGGTGGGAGCCATCCAGGAGGAGAGGCTGAGCACAGACTTGGAAGTCTCAGTGTGGTACTGGCTAGTAGATGAGGCAGTCCTACACAGGCCAGGAGGGGCCTAAAGGAGTGCAGGCCAGCTGGGGACCTGGAGAGAGTAGGATGCGTGGTGGCTGGGAAGTGAAGTGGTTTTGCAGGCTCTCCAAGCCGTCAGCATATGACTAGCATATGTACCAGCCAACAAACAAGGAGGGTGCCGGCAGTGTGGGGGCCAGAGTGTATGGAGTGCACACCACCTGGGAGTGAGGTGCTCACATAAGCCTACTGTGATTTAGGCAGGTGAGATGAAGGGTTAGACACCTTGTGGTCACATTACCCATTCGTTTTCTTTTCTTCTCTCTCCTACCATTTCTGGTCCTTGAAAGATTCAGGTTACTTTTCTATTCATTTCATAATATTGCTTCTACCTCATTTTTTCTTTATGTTTTAATCCTGATTTTTGTATGGGGAGCTAGTATCCCTGTGATCAGTTGATCATTTTGAACTAGAATCCACAAGATGTCTGTTTCTTATCACATAACAGCCTCTAGCAGTCCTTAGCGCTAACTGAAAGGTAGGGTTTACGCAAGTTGATTCTGACTCATAACAACCAAGTATAGGTTTCAGAGATTGTACATCTTTACAGGACCAGAAAGCCACATCATTTTCTGCACAACAACTGCTGTGTTTGAACCACAGACATTGCATTTGGCAACCAGTGCCTAACCTAAGCCTTAACAGGACTCCATGAGGGGGCCGCACAATAGAAACTGGGGGAAAGGAGACAGCAGTTGGTGTAAGATATGAAAATAATAATTTATAATTTATCAAGGTGCCATGAGGGTGGGGGAAAGGAGCTGACACAAAGGGAGGGCTCAATAGAAAATAAATATCTAGAATGTACTTGACATAATGGATGTGTGTATGGATTGTGATAAGAGTTGTACGAGCCCCCAATAAAATGATTTAAAAGAAAAGAAATTAGAAAATAATGATGGCAACATATGTACAAATGTGCTTGATACAATTTGATGGATGGATTGTTACAAGAGCTATAAGAGTCCTCAATATAATGTTTTAAAAAATACAAAACAAAGAAACTGGAGTAGCTGGATATAAATGCACTCTCTGCAAAGTATATCCTGTAGATTTCATAGGCCTGAGCTGTGAGGTGTACAAGAAGCCAATAGAGTGTTTACTGTGAGAGCAGAAGCCAAAGCTTGAGCCTTTTGTAGCAATTTTCAGTAGCCTGCTAGGCAACGGAATCTGTCTGATTCAGAGAGGTATTGCTACACCCGAAATAGACCCATGGAATAGTGTGCCTTTTTTCAGGATGACACGGGCAGAGGAAGCAGAAGCCATCCGGGAGAACTGACTCTCGTCTACCCATGAGTATGTTAGCTGTGGGTTTACCTTACACTTAAGATGTGTACTTCGCAGTACATAGCAGCCTCAGTCATCAATTTGCAGCACTGACTGAAAGGGAGAGCAGACAGACAAGAACTGTGATTTCTTGGTGCATCTGTCCAGTAGATTAAAGATGCCTGAGCTGTAAGTAGTTCAGAGAGGTAAGTACAGTGTTGACTATGAGAATAAACTCTGTTGCTCTGGTCTTCTGTAATAATATGCAATACACTTGCAATTAACAGTGTTTGGCCCAGGGACGTGCTGGCAAAGTCCAAATGGAGCTGTGAGGAGGTCTGCCTTACTGACTTCATGGCTGAAGTTTGGTGCCCTGTCTATGTGGGGGCTCTGGTAGTCAGTGAAGCAGACTATTGGGGGTGTGAGTGCATTATTATCTCAGTTCACAGCAGCTTACAGCCCAAATGAATAGGGAAGGGACAGGGAGGGTAGATGTGGTAATTAGATAATTTTATATCAACTAGAACCTCCTGGCTATGGAGTGGAATCAAACCTGTATGGCCTTCTCATAAGAAGAACCCAGGGAACAATGATGAGAAATACAACCTTCCTCTAGTTCCTAAAGGTTTCCTCCCCGCTCCCACTACCATGACTCGAATTCTATCTTGCAAG